TTCTCTTGTTTGCCATCTTGTATGTGGCCAGATACAAGAGGGCACAAATGTCTATCTCGGGGAAAATGATGTTTGGTTGTGAAATATTGGTATTTCTTTGTCCTTTCTAGAATAAATGTCCTAATCAGAGATGCCAAGTAACTCCAAGAAATTTAGCTTTAAACACTGAAGAATAATGAGATCTGGAATGAATGTATCATATAGCAAAAGAAAAAATTCATCACTTGAGGTAGGGGAGAATCACTATGGTCAGACCAGAAAAACAGAATGTGACTAGCTACTTTCAGAGATAGTTCCTCACCAGCTCCTTAGCTCTCCAAAGCTATGAGCTCTTTGTTCAAGTATGGACAGAGAGAAGCTAGTGTTAACAAAAGTCACTTGACCAAAAAGTGCTGGGGTTACACAAATATTTGGAAAGGAAGTGTCTCTGCTAATGCATTGAAAGACCTGGAGAAGTCACCGGTTTACAGCATTGACGTGTTTCCTTGTTCTTTAAGGTATGGCAGCAAAATTACTTGTCAATGTGACATCTGCAATCACATTCTTGTGGCAGAGTTTAACAGCATATCACAGACTGTAACAAGTCAAATGACTTGTCTGAGTGCCTGGGCTTCTCTGACATGTGCCTAAGACTGCAGCATGTTAACGGTGAATACATTCAGGACACTTCCCTCCTTCTGTCCTAATTCATCCCTGTAAATGCCTCAGCTAGCCTGAGGAAGGTATTGTAACAACAGCCTGAGGACCCAAAGGAACCACATGGCCTTGAACTGCAAAGCTTGCCATGGTCACAAAATAAATCTCAATAATTTGTTGCTCAACTATAGTCCCAGCTAGATATAAGTCACCTAAATTCTTATGGAAATATGCGTGCTAATCATTCGAATGTTTGCTTTTTAGGTTTTTGGTTTTCTTTGGTTGTTGTTGTCGCTGCTTTGTTTTAGTTGCTCTTGTCACATGAACTTTAGTCCCCAATTGTGGTTCTTGCCCTTAACTCTTCTAAGGAAAGAGTCATGCAGACTTGAAGGGCAGCAACCAAATAAGTCTCCTATAAAGAAGCAGGAACCCTTTCAAGTCACACATTATCATTATAATACCAGTATGGGCCTCAGCCTGCTTAAAGCATTCATCAGAGACAGGTGGGGAGCCAGGGCAAAGACAGAGATCATTGTAAACGGTGCTTGAGCTATTTGCTGCGGGATTGATGGGGCAATAATTTCACTCAAAAATTTCTAATGTTGCAAGCTAGGCATGGAGTAGGGCTGTGCTTTGCGGATTGAAGTGGAAGTCAATGAATCAAGTTGCATCGTCTGTGCCAAGGATTCGATGAGGCGTTTTTACTTCACACTTGGATGAGCACACTAGCATCCCAGGAACTGTCTGCTCTGCAGTCTCTTACCACTTGAGCACCGTGTATCCATACTGTCATATTCACACCTGAAATGACTCCATGTCGGCCTTCCTCCCCAGCCCCCAGCAAAACCGATTTGCCACCAAGCATGATAGTATGCACACTTCTAATCCCAGTATTCAGGAGGCTGAGGCAGGAGGATCCAACTTGAGGCCAGCCTGGGTTAAATACCAGGTCCAAGGCCAGTCTTGCATATATTGAGATCATGTCTCAAATCTCTCCCCACCCAACCCCAAGACACACACACACACACACACACACACACACACACACACACACAGAAATGACCATAACCTCTTGGCTGGATAGAATATGATTCTTCAAGGCTAGCCCATTTCAACATCTTGCATCCAAATTGATCAACTCACTTTTCTCCAAGCCTCTTCCCCTTGGGCTATCCACCTTACCAGGTTTTGCTTAATCCCATTCATCTCCAAAACCCCCTTAGATCCTGAATCTTCTGTAGAATCTTCCTGAACTACCCCAAATAATTCCTTCCTCTGAAATAGATCATTCCCAGCATTCTTCAGCACATGCTACATGGCTTTGGAGATTTTTATCAGCTAGCCCTTGCTTGCTCATTTAACATTTATCACTTCCTCTGAACTGGTAGAATCTTTGCATGTGATGTTATGTTGACTCTGGCCTGTCCCAGCTGCATTTTCTTAGCATCCTCCATGGCACACAACTCAGTGCTAATAGAGAGTTTCCATTGGTAAATGGACAACTGTTTATAAAAAACATGAGAAGTCTCAGATCTTTGTACCATGTGGCTCCTTTTTTGTCACTGTCTCTGTGAAGTCAAAGTCTTTGCAGTTCTGGGTAATGTATGGAAATGCTAAGAAGACTCAGAACCAGCCTGAAAACAAGAAGTCAACATAGCATTTTTAGACAATCCAGGGTGTGATCATCTCCACCCTTCAACAAATGGGAGCAAATTAAAACCAAGGTATTTTGATGCTTGGAAGCTATGACAAACTTCCCAGCATGCACTGGCAAATGTCTGGCATGCTGACATGGTAATCCCAAGCTCCCAAAAGGAGCACAAAAAAGAAAAATGTGTAACTTCACCGAAGGCTTCCTAACTTTACATTCATCCCTGCCCTATCCTTACCTCACAATCAAACACTCTTATTAAAGGATTCCTTCTGTGGGGTCATTATAGATTCCACTGACTTTAATACTACTGTCGTCCTATCTGTGATAAGTGATGCTCAGACCTAGGCAAAAAGAAAGGAGAGGGTTTTAGTAATGTCACAGCTCAGTGTCGGGAAGTGAGATTGCTCCTAAGGGAGAGGCTGCTGAGCCGATTGCATTTGCCTTTCTGTTTCTTCTTTCACCCAGAAAGTGCATCTCATTACCACAGAGGCAGCACAGACTCACATCAATCATCATGGGACCAGATGCCTCTCTTTTGGTCACATGGTGTTCTGTAGCTGTCATGTGCTGTGCCTCACTCAGAGGCATTCTCTTCGGCTACTTACTCCCACAAGCTCCTAAGTGCACTGACACCTGAAGGTACCGAACTTCAGCAGCCAATCAAAAGCGGCAGGAAGGCAAAGGCCTAAGACAGGGTAGGCAGCCAGAGTGCCCAGTCTGTTACCAAGCCGTCACTGTGCACACGTAGACAGGAAGTTACATTCAGTGTAGACTAGGACAGTCGGCTATATCCATGTCTCTCTTACAATGCCCGTGGGGGTCACAGGAACTGGCTTTTAGGCTAATTCAAGACCACTCATCAATAAAGTACTTATGCACCATGAGCTATTAACATGGACTCCTGACCCTGTTTGCACTGACGGGACATGTTCATTGCTGTCACTGAAGGACAGACATTGCTGGCTTGTTCTATCTGCAGGCCAGTCAGCTCCCACTGTGCAGCTGACCATTCTCACAATAACTGCTTGGCCTTCGTCCGCCTCTGCTGACAACTGATACTCACACAGCCCCACCATTTGTGCCATCCCACAGGACTTCTGTGGTGGAAGCAATGCCAGATGAGGAAGGGGCTTTCTCCAGAACTATCTGTCCAAGTGCTGCTGTTCAGTGTTTCTCCTCTGGTTTCAGTTGCATCTGAAATCCCAGACACAACTGAATCCTAAAGTCATTCACTGAAAAACCATTTACTGAGAACTTATGCCTGAAGCCCCATGTGAGTGCTATGCAGTAGAAAGCACGATCATTTGTGAACCCATTCCTCAGGCAGCTTATCATCCAGTGGAAAGCTGCAACCAGGGTGTGGGGCTCTGTCTAAGAGCTGGCATCTGCCAATGTCTGTCAAGCAGTAGAAGCTAGGAGGCAAATGGAAAAGCAAGCATTTTGGGGGACGAACAGATCTAGACACCAGTCCCAGCTCTGTCACCTACAATCTCCTACCCCAAATGATTCCCTCTACACCTCTGGGTCTGGTATGTGAAGTGGAGCTCTGACTAAGCCCCAGTTCACTGAGTTCTTATAGGAATACAGGATGAAATGAAACTTCGCCCAACAGTATCATTACTACATCTTGGTGACTCCTAGGCCAGGCCACCACAGCTCATATCTGGAGAGGAGCCTTCAATGACAGCCTACAGTGTGGGGCTTAGCATTAGTGGGGGAACACAGCCAAGTGCACTCAAGCCCGTGACACCCCTTTGGAATTCCAGAACATTAGGAAACAGATCATAGTCTGAGGTTTTGCTAATTAAATTTGTCCCTAACAATTTATAAGCAAAATCTAACTTTCCATAGTCTATAGACAGCCTAGACACTTGTTGCTCATACCTATGGTGTCTAATCAGAACCAACCAGTAACCAGATCTAACCAGGTGCCTCCTGTGGTCATTCAGCATGACTCCCTCACTGAAGACAGAAGCCACTAGAGGCACAGGCCCTGTCCTGCCCACTCCCACAGAGCCCCAACACCCTCTTAAGTCCAAGTTTAAAACACATCATTAAAAAATGTAATTTTTTTCTGATTTCAAGCCTCAAGTTGTTACATCCCCTCTGTGTGAAGCATTTTTAGCATTTATCTGCAATCCTAATTCTCTGAAGCCTTCAGAAAGGTGAAACATCTTGACAAGTATAATACAGCTAGTTGGTGACCTGGCTGGGAATGGCATCCTGTCTCCCTGTCGCCAGAGCCCAATCTCTCAACCATGTGCATGATAAGATGCTTGCTTGAGGACCCTAATCCTGCCAGGGGCAAGTATTGGGAAGCTGCCCCTATCCTTGACAATGAGTAGGATGGCAGGGGAGGAGAAGAGGAAAAGATGACAGCAAAGTTCTTAAGTGCTGAGAAAATCCATCCTTCCTTTGTTTCTGAGAGAAAACCCTGGAAGAAAGTGCATATTTGTGCCTTTACCAATACTTGGTTTTGTTTTTATGTAAGCTGCTTTTCCCTTCCCTTGGTGGGCTCACTGTGTTTGCTTTTCTTGTCTTTGAATGCTCACACGCTGCCACTTTATTTTATGCCCCACACCCTAACTGCTCATAGATTCTGAACTGGCTCTTGGTAGCATTCTTCATCACAATATACTACATAATCTTCATTTGTGAGAACAGACCCTGTGTTAAGCTGGCTTCTCACCTTTGAGCCTGTCTCTTACAGATTATTGGGACCATTCCGCTAATGCCTAACCCGGGGCCATCAAGCCAAGCAGCAAGCAGCACTCAGGGCCTTCAAGTACAGCCTATCACGCCCCAGCTCCTGACCAATGCCCAGGGCCAGATCATTGCCACAGTCATTGGGAACCAGATCCTGCCTGTGATCAACACCCAGGGCATCACGCTGTCCCCCATCAAGCCAGGCCAGCAGGTAAGAGTACCAAAACAAGGCAGGCAGCACAATACCCTTCTCTTTATCTCCTTTCTCTTCTTTGTTCTCAATGAAAAGCAAACTTTACATTACAAAATATTTGATCTCACTAAACCTAACATATCAGTACTTATAAAATGACACATAAATGTATTTCTCATTTTTAGTGACTATAAGTGAAACACAAATAGCTTCCTAATCTAAAAACAGGAGTACATTAAATTCTAAAAGATCCAGTGGCCCAAAAATCAGTTACAATGCATCCTTAATCTATACCCAATGTACTTAATTTTCAGATTTTTTTAAAGCAATGTCAAAAATAAGTTATGCTTTAACTGTACCATTTAAAAAATATTAAAGATCAAGATACCCCCAAGTTGAATCTGCTATCTACAAATGTGGGAATGAAAAGTAGGAAGTTCTACTTAGTAATTTTGCTAAAACGATCATGACAGTTCATCTTTTCAGTTAAATACCAACTGAACTTTTCTTGTGTGTTTATGCTGGAAGTTGGACGTATGGCTCTGAAGAAGGAAAATGCAGCCCCTGACTTTAATAAGAGTGTAGTTATTAGTCCCTTCAATAAGCATTTCTTATTGTCTACTATATAGCAAGACCAAGCCAAATGCTAAGCAATAGATAGAAAGAGAGATGTTTTCTAATCAAGGAGTTTATGATCTTAAAGAGGACATGGATGTAGACATAGAAGAGGACATAGAAGTAGAGCCCTTGTCCAGTAAAGCAGAAAAGGTCCTGTAGCAGAGCAGAAGAGAGTGAGAATGGAATCTAGCTAACGGGTAAGAGCTGACCAGGGAAATGATGTATAACAAGAGTCCAGGCAGAGGAAACAGCAGATCCAAAGGTAGTGTAATGGGAAAGAGATGATGTTGAGGGGCCAGAGCAAGATTCACCAGACTGGAGCACAGAAGAGGCTGAGGACATGGTGGACAGTTTATATTCAAGTCAGAAAGGACGGGCTTTGTCTCTGCACAATCTTGCAGATGCTACACACCCACTTCATGCTCAAGTTTTCTTATGTGTAAAAGTCAAAAAGGATGGGGAACATCAATATCTACCAAAAAGAATGTGTGTAAGGGCTACTGTGGCTAGAATCCTGTCTGGTACACACCACAATTCATGCTGCTGCTGCTGCTGCTGGTAGCAATGAAGATACCATCCTGGAGACCCATAAAAGGTGGGTATTATACAAGAGAGAGTTGCACGCTCAGCTTTTTTTTTTCTTTAAGAAAACAAATCTGATAGTAATATGAAAGTTGAACGGAAATGATGGAATTTCCACTGTAAGCAAACCATTCAGGGGACAATACTCAAACATAAGCAAGGATTACTGTGTATATCTCCTAGGTAGCTGACAACAGGAATCTGGAGCCACTTACTGTGACTCAAAAATAAACAAATGAGGTATCTAGAGAAAGCATGAGGAATGAGAAAAGGAGCAAGATCCAGGAGTCACCTGGCAAAATTCCAACTCTTAAAAGGAATGAGAGAGGAAGGGGGAAAGAAGAGGTGGAGGAATAAGCAGGAGAGGGACCTGGAGTGTGATCATCTAACACAAGAATTCCAGAACAGGTGTCAGATGCTTTAGAGATGAATCAGGCACAGCAGTGGAGAAACATCCACTTGGCTACAATGTTTTAAATTGTGGATCATTTGCTTTAAACACTTTGAAACAAGTATCCTGTTAACTGGATGAGTCAAAAGTCTGAGTTGGGCAAAGCTGATACCCAAACTTAAGGTTGGAGCGGTGAAGGTGGCAGGGACCATGTGTCTGATGATAGGGCGTGTGTGTTGTCGGAAGGCTAGAGAATATAAAGCAATTAGCAAAAATAAATGCAAAAACAAATGAAAAATGAAGTACCAATATCTTCATTTATTATAGCAATGCAGAAAAATCCCTCCAGAGACCTCAGCCATTACCTGCATTTAGCTTCTGGTCTAACTATGAAGACAGTGCATTTTGGCAACACTCAGAGGCTGTGTATGGAAATCCACTCGCTTGTTCAGTTAATATAAAAAAATCTATTTAAGCCAGGTGTGGTAGTATACACCTTTAATTCCAGCACACTCAGGAGGCAGAGGCAGGTAGAACTCTGTGAGATCAAGGCCAGCCTGGTCTACATAGCAAGTTCCAGGTAAGCCGGGACTACAGGGAGATCTCATATCAAAAAAAAATAAATCTGTTTAATAGAAATATTTATTGGCCATCAACCATGTGTCAGACAGTGTACCTGGAAGCTAGCTGTGTTGGTGGGAAAGATAGACACCACAAGCTCTTCTTTCATGAAGTTTATAACGTAGCAAGGAAGATACATGCTCATCAAAGACTTTTTCAGATAAGAACCTAAGATCTACAGTGAGTGTCATGAGGAAAAAGTGAAGGGGCTTATGAGAGTGTTGAGCAAGAAAGGAAGATGGCCTGGAACACCAGTCAAGAATGAAATGCACGTCCTGGAAACTAAGACCTCTGTCTCTCCACTCTAAGTCTAAATCTTGGTCTGTGTAACCACTGTTCCCAGCTGGACCCCAGACCGGAAGAGGTTCCTGAGATACTTACCATTAGGAGCTTTCCCATCTGTTGTAGTACTTACTTCTTTTGCTACTTAGAATGGTCTATTTGATTCTCTGCCTTTTAAATGGCTCCCCCAAAGATGCAAACACCTCTACTTTGTTAGCATATACATATATATATATGTTGTTGTTGTTGTTGTTGTTGTTTGTTGTTTGTTTTTTGAGACAGGATCTCCCTATGTAGCCCTGGCTGGCCTGTAGCTCTCTGTGTCAATAAGGCTAGCCTCGAACTCCTAGAGTTCTGACTGTCTCTGCCTCCCAAGAGCTGGGCTTAAAGGCATATGCTGCCATGCCCTGCCCCACTGGCTTCTTTTGTTGTTATTGTTGTTGCTGTGAAACCTGTCTCAAAACAGATTTGTCTACTATGCAGCCCTGGCTGGCCTGGAACTCCTTATGTAGACCAGGGCTGTCTTGAACTTGAAGATATCTTCCTGCCTCTGCCTACTGAGTGCTGGGATTAGAGACATGTGCCACCATGCCTGCCCTCCCATTGGCTTGTTAAACCCTACTTCTACCTGTTCCATAATTACCTCCTGGGAGAAAAATGAGATCTGCCTCTTTTCTCACAATCTGCTAAAAACTATTTCTGTCAGCAAAACCAAGCTGTAAATTGCCAAAAAGGTGATGAATTTGTTAAAAATCATTAGCATTTGATAGAAAGAAGCTCTCACACACACCATGAATTTCACATTGGGTATGTAGGTGGATAGATTAATGCTGTTACGTAAAATTGTAGCTCCAAATTTTAGGCATTGTAACTGTGATCTAGGAAAAAGGCCTGATCAAGGAATGGGGCCACTTTTCAATTCTTTGCCCACAGTAGTCATCAGTCCACAGTCTCTCCCAAACCCCCAGACACACTTCCAGAGCTTTCTCATGCTGTGACTCTCTGGAATGAAATCTCACTATTGCTGAGGGAACAGATGACCATTCACTGGTATAACCACCACCACCTGCTCTTCACAGCAGGCTGGAAACTTCCCACCTGGGCTGTACCTGGCAGACTCTTGTCAGTTACAGCAAACATCCCAAAGAGAGATCCCCATGTAGGTATCTGTGCATGCACCTCTCATGTGCGTGAGCATACGCTGAGAATTCAAGAGCGTAGCTGAAAAGAATTTGGAAAACAGCCCCCACCTCCAGGTCACAGCAGGCACTAAGCCTTTTGTTCACCCAAAGCCAGAGTCTATCCTGCTTCCAGAAAGGTCCAGGAACCCAATGGTGAACCTGGCCAGAAATATCAGGGAAATGGCAGAAATAAACAGATGAGTTTGCTTTTTGGCAGTTGAAACACTTTGGAACAAGAAGTTAAGGTCAGAAGTTGGGTAAAACAAGAGATGTGCGAATCTGAGTCGTGGATATAAAAGCTACAACTCTAATCATAAAGCTCCCAGTCAAAAGTGAAAGCTTAAAACCAGAGGTATAAGAATAGTGGTCTTCAGTTTTTTTCTTTAAATATTACCCTTTACATTGAAGAAATAAAATATGGGCAACCACTAAAAAAATAAAGGATTTCTATCATTCAGGAGAGAAATTTCTCAGTTTTTTTTTTCCAAGTTATTTGTGACAAATGCTGGACTTCACAAGAGCATAGTTCTGACAGAAAACTGTGTCATAAATTACAGGAGCAGAGTCCCTAACCCCTACTTGGAAGGAAACCCACTTTTAGAAATACAAAACTTAGATCAGATGACCTGGAGTGAGTCACTTTAATTTTTTTTTAAATAGTAATAATAACACCTTTTAAATCTCCCTAACACTAACTGAAGGAACCTGAGGAACATCTAGGATGGAATCTCCACCACTCTTCGGGATGAGTTAACCCAGTGACAAAAGGCTGCAACAAACTTTCAAAGTTATTGTGTGAAATAGAACAGTATTTTCAAAAGTACACCAGGATCCAATAGTCTCGACAAAGCTCTGCAGTATCTACCACATCTGAGAGCCTTGATGAGCACTGTAAGAATGTAGAAGTTGGATAACTGTTGATTGCCCCCAAGATAAAAGTGCCACTACTGTACCAATGAATGAACTGTATGAAAAAGAGAGAGAGAGAGAAAGATCTTTATGTGCATAAAAATTAAAAATATTTAGTGGAGCTTAGTAACCTTTTGTACCCTGCCAGGGGCTCTGAGGCTACCTTGGCTTATGGAGACTCAGTAAAAATCAGAGAACTGCTCCCACAGGCTTGCTTTCCCCTGGTTGTCCTGTGATTGAACTAATGATCTCTTCATAAGCCACAAAGACATCATTTTTTAGTATATTTTTTTCTTCCTGATTAAATCCTAACAAATGGTAAGGGGAACTTCTGTGTCATGAAGGAAGTTTGAAAAGAAAACGTTACAACTTGTAAAGTCAAACACTGACATTTTAAAAACTTAAATGTCATCGTCATAATATGCAGAGACGTC